AATTTTCCTTTTCAAAGGGAAAAATTAGTATACCTTGAAATTTGTTTCTCATGACTGTTTATTTCTAATGCACTGACCCTTTTATGTAACCAAGTAAATTTATAAGAAATCTTGGAGCAACATCTAAATGCAAGCATAATAAAACAACAACAATAACAAAAGTAAAGATTTTTGTATAAATTTAAAAACATTTTTCACGCCATTTATTGTGTATCTTGAAGCCACTTCTCTTTACAACAGGCTGTCTTTACTAGGAGTGAGTGGAAATAGTTTTAACTCTTTATTCAAAACTAAATTTTAAAATAATATATCTAAAATGATATAGAAGTTGCACTATATTTTATTCAGGTTGACTTAAAATAATTTACTCTCTCTTATCCATGAAATTGTTTCAAATATGCACTTGGTCATCTAAACTTTAGTACTCAAAGAGAAGAGCACTTAGAAACTCATCTCAATATGAAAAACACATAATAGGATATTATTGATTTACTAGTATTATTACTTATACTTTATATAGATTATAGATATATTTTTTTCTTCAAAACTGAAGTCAAAAATTAAACTACCTGGAGTACTGGGAGGTTCCGTGGTACTGTAGTCAGATGAGCTTGTCACACCTATTTAATACAAAATGATTAGGTTGTTTATGTGTATCTTTTAGTTGTTAAAATATGAAAAAAGGTTTTAAAATCTGATGGGAAAGCTATGGCTCCAATTTCAGCAATGCTAATGCTAAAAAACTTAAAACCATGTGAGGTTGCATTATATATATATATATATATAGAGAGAGAGAGAGAGAGAGAGAGAGAGAGAGAGAGAGAGAGAATTATCCACTGAACAACCTGCTGGAGTAACAGAATGAAATGCCTTGCCACTAAACGGACTGACACAAAATTACTCTATTCCAGATCAATTGCCATAAAACTTATTCAGGAAAAGAGGTAAGGATTGCAGAGAAAGGGTTCCAGGTCTCCTATCCCAGTTTCAGTCACACTTCCTCCCACTTTAAATTATTTTACATTTGGGAAATCTAGCTGCCATTTCAAAATGTCAATTGAACAAAGCATTCTGCATTCCTAAAAGCTGGAAGTGTGAAAATCACGAATCTAGATGAACAGAGATATTCGTCTCAAGATGTGAAATGTCAAGGGAACCACAATCTGCCATTTTGAAGCCACTAGATTTACTGCCATTAAATATACTACCAGAAAGAACACTAATCAACAAAAGTCTGTCTGATTGAGAAAAATGAAAGCAATTGAAAGCTGACTTTCAATGAGCAGAAAAATCTCAAATTAGCAATTACTCCACAATCGAAAGATAGGAGGCAATTACTTCTCAGTACATGTCTCAGGAACAAACCCTAAGTGTGTATGCCTGAGCTAATGGCAGCAGATCTGAGGGTCAGAAATCCAGCGTCCCTGAAACCATTTGTACCAACTGCGCCTAAAGGAAGTCAGTGGCAATAAATTACAGGTGATTTTAAATTTCTCAGTTCTGTTGAAGTGTTGACTTCTACATTGATGTCCAAAACTTAAGAACAACCCCAAATAATTATTGTTTCTATATGACCAAGACTTTTTTGAACAGATTGATTGATGACCAATTCTGACTGAGGTCAACCATTACTACACTACACTGTATCTATTACTAATTAGACTTCACTAAGTTTCCAGAGGCACAAATACTAAATCCAGCCCAACATGTTGTACTGATGCTATCTGCTCATTTTAAAAAAGATTGTCACTGGGAAATATTTAAATACATCTTATGACTCTACTTTTTATGCACAAAACCTGAAGAGTAATCCCTACAACCTGATTTTCCAGTGTTCCCTTTTTCATTTTAACCAACCTTTTTGTTCAAGACCATTGATGCCAACTCCACAGGACAGAATTACCAAGGCCAAATCCAAATAAACCCTTCTTTTACCACCAAGTCCAAAATGAAAAGCAAATGAAAAATGAAACTGTTATCAGTCTCAATAAGCAAAGGATGTAAATTATTTGTATTTTTTTTTCTTAATAGAGACTGGATCAGAATCCCTGAGCCACTGACACGGAAGCCAAAGCCCATGGGTTTACCAACAAACTTTTTGCTGTTCTTTCCATTTCCACCAACCTCCACATCTTCTAAGGTAAATAGCTCTGACACAAAAAATATATAGATTTACTGTACTTTATTAATCCATATTTCTTTCCCTAGCTTTAATTTTTTAATATAAATTTCTATTTATCCACACTTTTATAAATATACTTTTTCCTGATATTTATTTTTCAAGAAAACTGGTTCGAATATGAGTAATAGAACTTGTAAAGTTCTAGTCTAGTGTAGTATAACTTATAAAGCATTGCAAAAGTCATAGAAATATAAAACCAAAAGGTTTCTGATCTTATGTCAAAACTTGTGAACAAGAGAATTTTTTTAAAATATTATTTTATTGACTAAGAGAGAGAGAGAAAGGAGAGAGAGAGAGAGAGAGAGAGAGAGAGAGAGAGAGAGAAGGAAGAGGGAGAAGGGAGATATAGAAATATTAATTGGCTGCCTCTTGCTCGCCCCTACTGAGGGTCAAGCCCAAAATTCCAGGCATGTGCCCTGACTTAGGATGGGGGGCAGGAAGAACTAGTGACCTCTTGATGCATGGGATGATGCTCAACTAACTGAGCCACACTGGCCGAGCAGTAAATAGCTCTGACACAAAAAATATATAGATTTACTGTACTTTATTAATCCATATTTCTTTCCCTAGCTTTAATTTTTTAATATAAATTTCTATTTATCCACACTTTTATAAATATACTTTTTCCTGATATTTATTTTTCAAGAAAACTGGTTCGAATATGAGTAATAGAACTTGTAAAGTTCTAGTCTAGTGTAGTATAACTTATAAAGCATTGCAAAAGTCATAGAAATATAAAACCAAAAGGTTTCTGTTCTTATGTCAAAACTTGTGAACAAGAGAATTTTTTTAAAATATTATTTTATTGACTGAGAGAGAGAGAGAAAGAGAGAGAGAGAGAGAGAGAGAGAGAGAGAGAGAGAGAGAGAGAGAAGGAAGAGGGAGAAGGGAGATATAGAAATATTAATTGGCTGCCTCTTGCTCGCCCCTACTGAGGGTCAAGCCCAAAATTCCAGGCATGTGCCCTGACTTAGGATGGGGGGCAGGAAGAACTAGTGACCTCTTGATGCATGGGATGATGCTCAACTAACTGAGCCACACTGGCCGAGCAGGAACAAGAGATTTTCAGTGGCTTCCCCCAAGTCCACAGAAGGTTACTGAGAAATCCTGAGGACAGAAACTGGATATCTTCCTTCCAGGTCCAAGCCCCTTCATTAAAGCATTGTATCTATTTGCCTCTTAATTAAAATGTTTAAATTCCTGTTGAAGATAACACAGATCCTTTAAGAATCAAACATAGTTTAAAAATCTTTCCCATGTGTTCCTCTAGCAGTAAGTCTGTATTTGTCAAAAACACCACCAGTCCCTGCTTTGCTCATTGATGATTTTTCTACCAAAAGAAGAAACTAAGAAAAAACTTAGAACACAGGCAGCGCAATTAGAGCCAGCTCCATTTTTTTTTTTGCATTCTCCTCAAATCCACTTGGGCCAGATGGATCCTTACCAGCTTCGTTTTGATTTGAATCAGTGGCAGCAGCATCCGTACCACCAGAGTCAGTGCTGTCAGAACTACTTGCCGTAGTGGTTTCCTCTGCAAAAATACAATCATTATCAGAGAAAAGTTGCATTCATTGACTGGTCAAGAAATTGTACTATACATATTGCTTGAACTACGCCTACATTTCAAATGTAATGTATATTCCCCCTCCTCTCCATATGTCTTTCCACATATACTTCCACACTGTAATCAGGGGTGTGCATGGCAACCAGTTTGCCAGGAGGTTTGATAGAATTCCATAAGAGTTTCATTGTGTTCTGTATAACATGAGCAAACAATTAAACATCTCACTATCGTAAAAACAAGTGTTAATGATTATTAGCCATACCAAGTTTGTCAATTTCAAAACAGATGACTGGTGTCCTTCCTGAAAATATCTCAACTGCACCCTTACACCCAAGGCTCTTTCTCCCTTTTCAGATATCACAAAATGAACTCAAATATTAAATTTTAATATGAAACATTGAAGTTATTTTCCTCACGGAATCTCCTTTCCCATTTATGTAGAGCTATGAAATATAGATATTTCAGGGACCAGGCAGGTAAAGTAAAAGCCTGAATTGGCCAATAAGGAGTAGTTTATTGAACCAGAGAGGACATGCCTCATCTAAAGAAATTTAATTCCCCCTGCAAAAAAAAAATTGTGAGGCTACAAACTGTTTAGAAACCCTGCTTTATGCTATCACTCAGCAAATTGACTATGAAAGTTAAAGAGAAAAATACTGATATAGAAAATGAAATGTGGTTGCTAACAGAAACATGAGAGATTAAATTTGGGTCCGGAAGCATTTTAAATTAGTAACTTATACTTTATAAAATGACTGATCATCATAATAATGGTACTAAGTAGAAAGATGACAGAAGAAAATAAAAAGTATCGGGGAAAAGTTTGGTTTAATGTAAACATCTTTGCTACAATTCTCTAAAGACGGAATTCATCACTTTCAATGGCACTGGTATTAGTGACTTTAGATGATTCCTACTCCACTGTTACTATTAAGGCCATGAACTACAAATAAAACAGAGATTATCAGGTTCTCCCAAGTGAGAAAGAAGCCCCTGTTTCCTAGGTAAGCATTTGTCTCTAGCAGTACCTGCTGGGGTGTCCTCTAGCTCTAAACTCTCAGTGTCTCGTCGCTCTCGCCGCCTGTCCTCAGCCTTTCCTGGAGAACCATGTTCTGTCTCGAAGACCGAAGCAGCAACAGATTCCCTTCCGTGTGAGTCATCAAAGGGTGAACCTGCAACCAGTAAGTCACCTGGTATGAGAACAGGAGATTTCATTTGAAAACAGCATTGCTGTCACAATAAGGTGACTTGATTGCGACACTATGAAAAGCCACATTTTATTTTGCATCAGCCTTGTTTTTCTGGCAACACTTGAAGCAAAATATGCTACTGATTGACTTAATCGCCATAGTCACATCTTTTTGTCTTAGTTTTAAGACTTCAAGAAAGACGAATACAATGGTGATGGAAGGAGTCTTGATTTGGGTTGGTGAACACGCAATACAATATACAGATGATGTATTCTAGAATTGTACCCCTGAAACCTATATAATTTTGTTAACCAATGTCACCCCAAATAAATTCAATTTAAAAAGAAGACGAATAGAGCTGGGAAGACGTATCAGATGTGTCCTAGAAATTCTCCTTGCGGACAGAGGGCAGGGACTTCCCTGTTTCCTCCTCCATTGCTAAGCCCCAAGTTTCAGTCTCCAACCTTCCCCCATCAAAATATGAGTGTGGACAGTTGAATCCACACTATCCTTGGCTTAGTAATAACTGGTAATTTTAAGAAAACATATCTGTTTCTCTTTTCCTTATATCTACAAAGATTAAAACCTTTACTCATAATTTAATGGTAGCATTCACCTCTTCAAGTCTTAGTTGAAAAGTCATCTCAATGAGGCATACTCTGAGGATTTAAAATTGCAACACCATCCCGTTCTAACACTCCTAACTATTCTTATTCAGTCCAGGATTTTATCATCTTGTCATATACCATGTTACTACTTATAATGTTTATTGTTTATTGACTGTTCATTCTACATTTTGAGCTCCATAAACTCAAGGTGTGTTTTTTTGCTTGTGTGTGTTGTTGTTGTTGTTTTGCCTGTTTTATTCTCTGAGACATCCCAAGTGTCTAGAACAGTGCCTGAAACACTAAGGACAATCAACCAACATTTACTTAACAAATGCATTCGTCAACAAAACACTCTTGTTAAGGTAATGTACACTACATTACATGAGGTATTCTATGCTCTCTGTCATACCACTTATTTTTTTGATCTCCCAAATAAAATTAAAATACTTTAGAAGTGATAATGCCTTAATGAATACACTATTCCCATAAAGTTGTGGCAAACATGCATTTTGGTCACTGACTAGACAAGAAAACGAAATTCATGATTTATAAGTAAAATTTGAAGACTATGTAAAAATAAGTACAAATAAAAATAAGACACAATTCTCCCTAATGAAAATAAAGGAAAAGAGACTCCCCTCCTCTTTTTTAGATCCTTTACTTTAGAAAACTTGTGAGTTCTTTATCTACCTCTTTGATCTAAAAATGCCTTATAAGAAAAACATATAAAAGTAATCTTGGGCTATTTTGATTGTTGTATACGTTAGACTGGCATGATAGTAAATTTATAATGATATTAGCAAAAATATTATTGTTAGATTTAAGGAAAATTCCATGAAAGCAGTCTTGATTTGCTGTGGCTTTTTATTTTGGTGGCTAGGGAAACAAAATTATGGATAATATTCCATGATATTCAATTGCCCAAAGGAATCAGTAGTAAAACTGTTAGGACTAGATTGAGTTTAATTAAAATAGATCACTAAGGAATTAATCCCAGAGTGCAAAATAAGAGCATGTTTGTTCAATAAAAATATAGGAAAGTAAAACCTTAAATCCACATCCACATTTCTCATGTAAGTATGTGATTTTAGAAAAGCTAACAATCAAAGCAATTTCCCATTTCAAATGTCACTACCTTATAAACAACTGGCTAAGTATTAAAATGTCTGACCCAAATTATACAAAAATACACTAGAATACGTTTGTTTGTAATAATAAGGAAGATTTCATGAAATGTTTTAGTGATTTTTCCATATGCTTTCTTTTCAAATAAAAGTACTGCTGCTGTGTTGTTACTTGGTATAAAGAGTATAAGAAAAGAAAACCAAATAATTTACCTGAACTGCTTTCAGCTACTTCATTATCTAAAGAAAAAAGAAGAATTGCTGTCATTACTAGCATATTTGACAGATTTGCCAATAGAAAGTGAATCTTGATTACAGTCATTTCTTGTCCTTGGGAGGTGTTCCCACAGAGATAGGCTCATTGAGTTCAATACTCAGACATGAATATGGAAATTATCCAGTGACCATGGTATGTTTATACCCCTTCAGAACAACCTTATAAAAAGAATACGTGTGCCAGTCCCCCAGCCAGTTTAGAGTACAGCCTAGATGCATGAGTTAGAACGCAGCAAAATACAATAATCCTTGGATGATTGCAAAGGTTCTTCACAGCATTAATTATTATTCAGTTGGTGAAATGCAGATGTTTTAGTGAACAGATTTTTTTTATGTTGCAAAAATACTGTGTAAACTTAATTTACTTAATTTGAACCAAATGACCTCAATTTTTATTTTATAACTGGATCCCATAAAATTAATGTACACATAGTTTACAAATGATTTAAGGGTTATTATGGTAAACCAAAGTGAATTTTCTTCATATTTAAATAAATAACATATAAATTTGCAAACTTGTCAAGCTCTAGTAAGTACAACTGAGTCAATGACTCACAATAAGAGTGAGTATATACAACAAATGGCATAATTTACATATAAAGATATTTTTATAAAAAACATCAAAATCATTGTTATCCAAAAGAATTTTCATAATAATTATGTGAAATTAAATATAACAGAATGGCAACAACAAAATTTTACATAAAGTTGCATATTGATTATATATTCAAGAAACTTCAAAAAACATTTTGGGTAACATTTTTATTTGGAGACTTCATGGATTGCAGGTTGTTGGTTATTTTTCAATGCTTCTCCATACTCTGTAATTTTTACAAATTCCCTAACTCAAACTGATGACATTATTCAAGTGAAAGTCAAAGCATATGGTCATATACTAAGATAAACTTCTAAAAATTAGAACTGTCCCAGAAAATCAAGGATTTGTGGTCAGCAAACCTATCTCAGACCTATAGGTGTAAATTAAGACAAACAGCCAACACAGCCAGTTAAAAGACAACGGGGTTCCTATGTGTGCTGATAAATTGTTACCAAAAACAAATTGTGTGTACTTGCACAAATACATGCACACATATTTAGCTGAAGGCTAAGAAGAAATGGTTTACAGATATGGTTTGAAGATAATATAAATGTTTCTAAAAAATGCATAATAACATATCCTCCATATAGGTTAAAGACCTGGAAGAGTCTCTCTAAAATATAAGTTGAGTTATATTAAACAAACAGAGTTATCATAAAACCCATGCATGAATTTTATCCATAAGGAAAATCCCACAGTGTCTCAGTGTGCACTCTATTACTACAAGTACTAAGCTAATGAGCTTGGATTGATGGTGTTCTCACCCCAGTTGACTGAAAGAAGTAAATAATATTTGGAACTGTGTACAAAAAATGCAGATATAGTGATTCTATCAGGATATAGAGCTGGATGTTTAACAGAAGTAGGAGACAGAAAAGCAGACACAGTAACTCAGAAACCATCTCTGGAGTAGGGACCAACTGTTTTGTACCTATCAGTAGATTCCAAGGGCAGCATTGCTTAATATGTATTGTGATAACTGGTATGCATTTTGATGTCCTCAAAGAAAGGTTAAACTATGTTTAGCCCTAGCAGGTTTGGCTCAGTGAGTAGAGCCTTGGCCTGTGGACTGAAGGGTCTTGGGTTTGATTCTGGTCAAGAGCACAAGCCCAGGTTGCGAATTCAATCCCCAGCAGGGGGCGTGTAGGAGGCAGCCAATCAATGATTCGCTCTCATCATTGATGTTTCACTCTATCCCTCTCCCTTCCTCTCTGAAAGTAGTAAAAATATTAAAAAACAAAAAAAGTTTAAACTATGTTTAGAAGCCCCTTATCTTCTTGGGTAAGCTCTCCCTCTCCCTTCCTCTCTGAAAGCAGTAAAAATATTAGAAAAATAAAAAAAAGTTTAAATTATGTTTAGAAGCCCCTTATCTTCTTGGGTAAAACAAAATATCTGTGGCTCATTTCAGAAAGTATATCTTGTAAAGGATTTGGTTACTTTCAGAAAGAAAAAAATCTTTTAGGCATAAAAAAATCAGATTTATGGTTCTAAAATATTTTATCAATTCAAAACAAATATATACTTAGTGCCTGTCCCATTTTAGCTGCTGTTCTCAGCATTGTGAATACAGACTGAACAACATTGATCAAAATTCTGTCTTTGAGGAGTTTACAATTCTGTGGGATATATGAGAGAGGAGCCATGGCAGTTCACTCACAAAATTAAGTGTGTGTGAAACATCCATTTTCTGTATTCCACGTTGCTGGGGATATAAATTGGCGCAGCTATTATGGAAAACAGTTTGGAGGTTCATCAATAAATGAAAAATAGAACTACCATGTGGCCCAGCAATTCCACTTCTGGGTATTTATCCAAAGAAAATGAAGTCACTGTCTCAAAGAGATATCAGCATCCACATATTCTTTGCATCATTTTTCACAATAGCCAAGACCTGGAAACAAACTGAGTATCCATTGACATATGATGGCTAAAGACATGGGATAGTATTCAGCCATAAAAAAAGGAAACCTTGCCTTTGGTGACAACATGGATAGACCTTGAGAATATTTATGTTAAATGAAATAAGTCAGACAGAGAAAGTCAAATATTATATGATATCCCTTATATGAAACCTAAAAACCTCTAGCTAATGGAAACTAAAAATAGAATGGTGGTTGCCAAGAGTTTTGTGGCAGAGGATGTGGGGAGATATTGACCAAAATTACAAAGTTTCAGTTATCAGATGAATAAGTTTGGGGGATTTAATGTACAGCATTGTGACTAAAGGTAACAATATTGTATTATATACTAAAAAGTCACCAAGTGTCTAGATCTTAAATGTTCTCACCACACACACACAAAAAGTTATTATGTGAGGTGATGGAGGTGTGACCTAACCTTAGTCTAATAATCATTTCTCAATGTATATGTATATCAAATCATCCAATTATGCTGTATACCTTAAGCTTACACAATATGTCAATTATATCTCAATATGGCTGAGAAAATATTTCTGTGTTTCAAAAGCAGGCTCTGTATACACCTTGAAATATCTAAGATAAATTTCTGAAAGGTACTGACCTGACTTTAGTCTAAAAAATAGGGCTCCACCATCTGTAAAAAGTAAAAAAAGTAAAAACATCATTTTAAAATTCTAGCATATTTTAAGACAATGAAATTAATCTTCTTGTTTTCATTATTTTTATAAATTCAATATGTGCTATCAACTTTTATATTAATAACTATTATATTTCAATATTAATTTATTATTTTGGAGTTTTTTATTTATTAAATAACATCTATATAGATCTAAGTGATACATTTACCTGTCAACATACTTAAAGTTTTCAATGTCAACTCATATTTGGAAATATATGGCCAAACATATTAAACCCACAACTTAATTAGTACTTTATATCCTTGTAACACTATTAAAATATTTTACAGCTTTCAATCTGATCTAAATTTCACCTGATTTTATTTCCCCTAAACATTTTCTGGTTTATGTGTTTACAAGCAGTGAATTAGATAAAAAAAAGAAAATCAACTGTATAGATTTTACTCTACTGACAGGATGGAATATCCTGGGGGGAAAATAAGAATTAAATATACATATCTATTTCATGCCAAATCTACATCTCCTGTAACTGGAGTTTTTCCACTTAGCTAGGGAAGTGGGTTTTTTTGTGTGTTTTTTTCTTTCCTTCTATACACTTATGGTTGGTTAAACAATACAATTTTTTTCTGGTTGATTATATGGATACCTCTTAAATGTCTGCCTTCTTTACCTTCCAGCTCTCAAGCCTTACCATCCTGTGATCTACTGAAAATCAAGGGAGTCTGGTTTGGAACAGAGACCTCACTGACAAAGAGCAATAAAAAGTCACTCGGAGAGTCTGCAAAAAGCAGTTTTCCAGGTTTTTCTATTTCCTACCATAAACTTATAAATAAATACATAAAACTCTGAATTTTGTCACTAAATCACTAATCTTTGAAATTTCTATTGAAATCGTTTCTCAGAAATATGATGCATATCTAAGAATTTATTTTAGAAACATATTCCAGTTCTGTGGTGAATTTAATAGACTAGCAAATACTTTTAAACACATTTTTTGAGATATATCATTTAATAAATTATTTGAAAATAATGTATTTTTACTCAGTTACTTAAGAAGTAAGAAATACATTCATGCAAAATAAAGGCAAAAATGTTTATATTTATGCAAAGGAGAAGCAAAAGATATAACAAAGTGCTAATGAGATTATGAAAATCACTATTACATAAAGCAACTATTTTCTAAAGGTCCGTCAGATTATTTCCCAGGTGGTATTGTTTAAGGATAGAAACATTTTCTCTTAATCTTAACAAATAATTGCAGTCCCCTTTATCATGACTTCTCATAAAAAAAGTAAATTATACCCTACTCCTAAATTTAGAAAATACATTTTAAGTGTAAATATAGAATGAATCTTCTCCCTTTTGCAGAACTTTCTTCTTTGTTTGGATGTTAATGTTTTTCTGCCCTGTTCAGAAACAGAATTAATTGGCAAGAAATACATTTGTTTCTAACCATGTTTTTCTCAATTTTTAATTAACAGAATTAATCAATGATGTCCTACCTTTCAATTAATTTCAGAAATCAATTAATTGATTGTCTGAAATATCCGGGGGAAATCTTAGTTTAAGAAATTTTCCCAACAAAATGTTCTTTTGGTGATGAATCAGTCTTTTAATTGGTGATATTATCATTATTTGAAGGTCTTTAGTCTTAATGCTGCTATAACTTTAAGATAGTCATTAAAGGATAAACTGTGATGAAAATTAGTAACAAACACTACATACATCTTGAGTAACCTCTTCACAGATATTTCTAAGCAGATATATCCTGAAGACAGGCTTGCTAAAGCTGAAATAATATCCAAGAGGTTGAAAATCCAGGTGTATGTTTTTTAATTTAGTATTTTACTCTAAGATGTTGGAAAAATTTTCCAAGGAAAAAAATGTTTGAAGTAGAAAACACCAAACAGTTAAGCAGACGTATACCTAGATCTATCACATTTGAAAGGATCTTTCAGTTAGCCCCTTACCTTTGCAGAAGACACAAAGTGTCACAACCAAGTACAAAGAGGTCAACTTCATGGTAGTAATTTGGGACCTAGAAATAGAGACAGGTCATCCTGGAGAAACAGATCCACAGCGGACCCTCAAACTAGAGCTTTTATACCCACTCATACCACCGTCTCTCGTCATGGGCTAGGCGTGGTAAACTTAGTGATGACAGAACAAAGGTAAATATCACGGCATGCCAAAGACGAAATCCATTTCAAGTCAGGTTTGTGTTTTATTTATATGACATCTTCTGTCTCGGACCCAGTACAGTTCATGCCAAACCCAGCCCTGTGCAAACAGCGAAGGCAGGAACTAAAAGCCTCAGGATTAAACACCAAACAGGCTGATGATATGCATTTATCTATCCCCTATTCATCATTGCAAAAGCCTTAATACCTCAAGAAACTCAAATATTGTAATTAAATATTTCAATTGCCTCTGCCTTCACAACAAACGTGTTTTAAACATTAGGTTACCTTGAAACAAAGAACTCTTTATTTATTGACTAGAGGCTCGGTGCACAAAATTTGTGCATGGGGGGATGTCCCTCAGCCCGGCCTGCACCCTCTCCAATCCGGGACCCCTCGGGGGATGTCTGATTGCCTCTCGCAATCCGGGACTGCTGGCTCCTAGCCGCTCGCCTACCTGCCTGATCGCCTCTAACCCCTCTGCTTGCCTGCCTGATCGCCCCTAACCACCTCTGCCTGCCTGCCTGATAGCCCCTAACCACCTCTGCCTGCCTGCCTGATAGCCCCTAACTGCTCCCCTACCAGCCTGATCACCCCGAAATGTCCCCTGCTGGCCTGATTGCCCCTAACCGCCTCTGCCTCACCCTGCACCCAGGACCCAGGATTCCCTCCTCCAGCTGGTTGCAGGCACCCAGGATCCAGGCTTCCCTCCCTCTGGCCAGCCACAGGCACCCATGACCTGAGCCAGCTTCACCAGGGCGGCCGCAGCCGCAGGGGACTGTGGGCTGGCGGCTTCACCCCGGCCGCAGCCATAGGCACCCGGGACCGCGGGGCGGGTGGCTTGTCCCTTTCCTGGGCCACAGCCTGGCTGGTCCCCATTCCTCTCTCCCCAGTGTTGAGTGTCTTAGTCGTTATGGCGTGACGGCATGAGGGCACGATGACCATTTGCATATTAGCACTTTATTACATAGGATATGTCAATAGATATTTTGAGAAATGTATAACCCTCACAGAGATATAGGTATAGGTACTAACATACTAAGGTACACAAATGTACCCCAGTTATAGTAATAGCATTATTATTCACAGGATACATAATGCTCCAACAAGATACATTTTTATCATGAACTTCATAATGAATATATAAATAAGTAGAAGACATGAAAATGAGAATATCAGAAAAAGAATGTTTTAAGACAAAAATAAAATTAAGTAGAAAGAACCATGCATGAATTATATATGTAGGTATTCCAGAGTGAAGGGAGAAAGTTCAAGTTAGGGTCTAAGAGGAGACTGTCTGGCCTGTGCTAAGCAAGGCAGAGAGGAGTAACAATCCAGGAATCCAGGTACCAACCAGGTGGGTCTGAAAAATAGAAGGGCCAACTCCCTCGCTTTGATGAGAATCTGTTTTGTTTCTGCTACCAATCACTACCAAGAAAAGACTTCAGTAGCTAAAGAGAAAACATCATCTGTGTATTCTCTCCACTCATTTCCTGAATAACCTAAAGGAAATAAACAGGTGGATAGTGAACGCTTTTATTCATATGCTCCCTGCTCTAGGAAAGTGGTATTTCTTTTTCTTTTTCTATTTTTACTAAAAATAATAGATTTTTATTTGCAGATTTCAGTTGTGCTGTGAACTTTGCAGAAGACAAAAACAAACAGCAAAAAATGAAATGTCACAAAACAACCAAATGAAAACTGAGCCTCCCAAGGAAGTAGCCTCTAAAGGACAAATGAGAGTGAGCATCAGAGTGAGGTGCCAAGGGGTAGTGGCAGCCTGGAAACCAGGCACCGAGCACGATCCTGTCTTTATTTGTCCATGAACTATTTGGTTTGCTCGGCTTGGTCCATGAATGCCCCATTTAACAGCATTCTGAACTCATCAAACCCTCTGATTTATAGCTATCCAGCACTGGACTGCTCTTTGAAAACTATTTTCTTTGTTCTTACCAAATTTTTTTCTTTTTTTATCGAATTTATTGGGGTGACATTGGTTAATAAAATTATATAGTTTTCAGGTGTACAATTCTATAATACGTCATCTGTATATCGTATTGTGTGTTCACCAACCCAAAATTAAGTTTCTTTCCATCTCCATTTATCCCTCCTATACTTTCTCCTACCTCTCCCTACTCCTCTCCTGCAGGAAGCCATCGCTTGCCAATACTGTCACGAGAGTGCACGAAGGAACGCGGAAGGCCGATGGACTGATGCTAAGCACCTCATCTGTTGAGACAATGGTGGCTCAAGGCAATTCCCTAACCTGATAATCCTTTTACTGTTTACCAAACTTTACCTTTGATATGCCTGTATGCATTGCTAAAGGGCAGATGTGTGTTCAAGTAAATAAAAAGCGAACCTGCCAGAGGTCAGTGTACTCATCATGAAAGAGACCCCTCACCCTGGCCCCAATGCCTTCTAAATTCATATTTCTTGTATAGCATTTTCATTTGTGTGTCGGCCCCGTCTTCAGATCTTGAACCCCGCCATGCAAGTCGCGGGACCCTCCCCATCTGGCAATCTTCTACTATTGTCTATGTCTATGAGTTTTGTGGGTTTTTTTTATTTAATTCCTTCACCTTTTTCATCCAGCCCTGCAACCACCCTTCCCTCTGACAGCTGTCAGTCTGTTCTCTATCTATGAGTCTGTTTCTATTTTGTTAATTTTATTCATTAGATTCCACATATGAGTGAAATTATATGATACACGTCTTTCTCTGACTGGCTTATTTCACTTAGGATAATGCTCTCCAGGTCCATCCATGCTATTGCAAAGGGTAAGATTTCCTTCTTTTTTACACACAAGTAGTATTGCACTGTGTAAATGTACCACAGCTTTTTTATCCACTCTTCTACTGATGAACACTTGGGCTACTTTCAAATCTTGGCTATTTTAACAATGCTGCAATGAACATAGGGGTGCATATATTCTTTCAAATTAGCATTTTGGGTTTCTTCAGATATATTCCCGGAAGTGGAATCACTGGGTCATAAGGCAGTTCTATTTTAATTTTAATTTTTTTTTTAGGTAACTCAATACTGTTTTCCCCAATGGCTGCACCAATCTACATTCCCACCAACAGTTCACAAGGGTTCCCTTTGCTCCACGTCCTTGCCAGCAATTGTTGTTTGTTGATTTATTCAAGTTAGGCATCCTGGCAGATGTGAGGGGATATCTTATTGTGGTTTTAATTTGCATTTCTCTGATGATTAGTGACATTGAGCATCTTTTCTTATGTCAATTATCCATCTGTATGTCCTCTTTGGAGAAATGTCTATTCTGGTAAGGTGGGATTTCTTTTATCTTGGGAGAAACACGAAAAATATCATGGAGAGGATAGTTTTTAAGGGCTGAAGCAAGAAAAATAAATGGGACTTGGACATGCAGAATCAGGGGAGGATTCTAGATGGAAAATGCATTTTGAACAAAGTCAAATGCAATTTCAAACATTCTGAAGTCTCAACTCCAACTTTTCTCTTTCCAGATAATTCATTCTAGAAGTCTAATTCCAACAATCTTTTGGCTTCCCTCCTCTTGGCAATTCAGGTACCTTCTTACATGGTTTAAATTCTATCATTTATCATTATTTCCTTGCATAAATTTTTAACTTCCTTGGCCTTGTCTTATACTTGCTTGGAAAAACCCCAACCGTGGCTTAAGTGAAATTCTTTTCCTTCCCTCTATATTGTATGTAGATGAATATGACAGGGTAAAAATACACAGTCATGCTAACTTATTTCTCTTAAATCTATTACCAAGTGTGCCCTTAAAATAGCCAGGCAATTATATTTTCTAGTCCATTTGCTTTCACTTGTTTTTACTTTGTTTTCTCTCTTCTCTACTATCCAATACCTCCTTCTCATCCTCCCTCTTAGTTAATGACCTCACTTCCGAGTTTACTGAGTTAAAAAAAAAAAAAGCCATCAAAAGAGAAACACTATAAGCTCCCTTTCCCACAGATTCCTAATTACTGGTATTTGTACCATGTACTCTGCGTACCTTCTTCATACAGATGAACTCTCTGTGCTGCCATCTAAGGCTCCCTCCCATTTGTGTACTGGATTCCACCCAACTATATTATGCCAGTAATTTGTTCATCTCTATTCTCATCATCAAGGTTTCCCTCCCCTTTTGCATTATTCCCAACAGTATAAACACTTCCACTATTTGCCCTTCCTTTAAAAATTAATAATATAACAAACCAAAACACTGCCTGGTATCTGAATTATACCTTAATAAAGCATTTATTTTATTTAAAATATGTTTTTATTGATTATTTCTAGAGAGAGAGGGATAGAGAGATAGAAACATTGATGAGAGAGGAACATCAATCAGCTGCCTCCTGCACATGCCCCCTTGAGGACTGAACACACAATCCAGGCATGTGCCCTGACCAGGAATCAAACCGTGACCTCTTGTTTCATAGGTTGACGCTCAACCACTGAGCCATACCTGCTGGACAATAAAGCTTTTATTTTTAAAAACCATTGAACTCACTTCCCTTTCAGCTCTCTCTACCCATTTCTCTGCTCCCCTTAATGATGAAACTTCACAAAGTTACTTGTGCTCATTGCCTCCATTTCCTGACTTCTCATTATCTTATGACTAACTCAACTCCCATTAAGTTTTCACTCAATCATTGCATTGCACAAAATGTGCTCTTGTCAAGGACAATGGAATCCAACAGTCAGTTTTCAGTCCTGGTTTCATTGACCTCTTAACATTTAACACACAGTTGATTAATTCTTCCTTCTTGTTACACTCTGACTTCTGCAATTTCCAGGGTTTTTGTTTTATTTTGTTTTCTACCTCATTTGCTGTTTCCTCTTATTCTTCTATTGCTGATTTTTTCTCATTTCCATAACTTATTTTCTTAATTCTTATTTTTTAATTACAGTTGACGTA